ATTTAAATCAAATATAAGATATCATTACAAGAATTCATGAACATGTTATATTTAAATCAAATATAAGATATCATTACAAGAATTCATGAACATGTTATATTTAAATCAAATATAAGTTATCATTACAAGAATTCATGAACATGTTATATTTAAATCAAATATAAGTTATCATTACAAGAATCCATCAACATGTTCTGCGGAAAACGGTTACTTGCTAATAAAATCAAGTTTTCGTTCAACTCTAGGTAAAATACCCGACTTGTACGTATATATATATATATAAAAGACTCTTACACTCTGAGAGAATTGATTTGGTTTGTTTTGATTATTCGATCAAAGCTACACAAGGGCTATTTACGTTAACCGCCCCTAATTTTGAAGTGATAAACTAGAGAGAAGAAAGCTAGTTAACAGCACCCCTACCAACCCGTGGGCTACTCTAATCTAGTAGTGGGATTTGACCGTCATTCTTATAACGCGTAATGAGCGCCAAAGTACGGAGTGCTATCTAATCTGCTGAAACGGGACGCGAACAGTGGACTATCGGATCCACTGTTCAATCTCTGAGAGGAAAAATCAACTGCATAAACTTACACGAATGAAAATTTTAACTTTGAATAAATACTTAATTTAACTAAACAACTTTTATTTAAAACTTTCTTTAAATTATGTCAGTATAAAATATAAGTAAAAAAAAATGACTACGGTTAATTTGTGTGTCATCAAGAACAAAAATGTAAGGTTGGCAACCATATTCCAAATGTTCATGTTAAATCTCAACTCTGATGGATAAATCATGAAGCCAGTTCTTGCAGAAACATGTTTTTTTTTGGCACTGGTGAGAGACCATTCGGCGAATTAGCATAACAGTTGTAACTACTATATTGCCATAAAAATACATCCAACCGGATTTAAAACGATTATGTTACCGACAAATCTCCCAGTGCATCAACCATTACGAACAGTTTCGTATAAAATGGACTACTTGCTGAACACTGAATATTTTTTAATGAGAAGTAAGGTTAATTTGTTAACACTATTTAATAAATTATGATTTATTAACCTTCGCACAAACCCCGATGTATATTAACAATATCACAAAAATAAGTGTTTATGAGTCACCTTTAAAACCCTTAGTAAATAATACAAACACTCTTGGTATTATAATAGTTCAACTTCTATACTATGTTGTCCTTTTTAACCTTTGCATGGCTGTTAACTTAAAATTTCAATATGTTCATTATTAACATTCGCGAAAATTTATTGTACAAAAACTACCATTATCTCATTAAACGCGTTCGATCTAAAGGTGTAACAAAAAATTTATAACCTCTCACAAATATAATGATTGAAAATGTAATTCAAAATGTGGCATCAGATTAGCTGTATGAAGGTTTTTGGGGCGGAAGTTTCTAAATCCAGTATGATTAATACTGTTTATAGTGATTTCATTAAAACTGGGACTAGTGGTTAACTTGTAGGATTGTGGATGTGGGGGTTCATGGTTCGGGTCCCGTTTCCATAAAATCACACTCCGCACTTTGAGGCTGTGGGCACGTCATAAGAGTAACTGTCAAATTACAATAGCACAAAATTTGGCGGTGGGTGCTGTTGACTAGCTGACCTCCCTCTAGTTTATCACTTCAAAATTAAGGACACGTGACTCAGATGGCTCTAATGAAGCTTTGCGCGAAATTTACCAAACAAATACGCAAACTGATTAAAACTACAATCTCTACTCCCAAATGAGGAGCATGTTAGAATAACGTGTTTTCTGGGGATATACAGGAAAAGTATGATGTTCTGAAAGCAATATGATCAGTATTATATACATGCATAGCCATTAGTGACTTTAACTACATGTGGACTGAATTTGCTATTGAATTCTCCTGGCAATTTTCTTGACTACAAGACAACATTTAGGGCTTTACGGAGAACTCCATAGAAAACTCAGTCCTCGTGTTGATCACACTATATAAATCCATTTTAAAAGTAGGTTTGGCCAGGTGGTTAGGGCGCTCGATTCGCAATCTACGGGTGGCGGGTTCGAATACCCGTTTCACCAAATATGCTCGCTCTTTCAGCCGTGGGGGCGTTATAATGTGACGGTCAATCTCACTATTCGATGGTAAAAGAGTAGCCAAAGAGCTGACGGTGAGAGGTGATGACTAGCTGCTTTCCCTCTAGTCTTTCACTGCTAAATTAGGGACGGCTAGCGCAGATAGCTGTCGTGTAGCTTTGCGCGAAATTCAAAACAAACAAACAAACAAACAAAAGTAGATTTTATTTTCAGTTAGGTTAAATGTATAGCTATATAATTAATATTGAAGGATTTGAAGCTCTCTTGACGTTCATTGCGAAGAAACGATAAGTTCTGATCACTAGTAAGGTGTACTACTTAAAAACACAAGAAGCAGGAAAAAATATTTTATTTGACTCCATGTTCCTAAGATAAAAAAAAACGAGCAAGAACATGACAGCAAACAATAAACAGGAACTAGAAAGGGAGACAAAACAATGATGGATATATAGCAATATTTGATTCGTGCAGATATTTAAGGAAAGCTTCTATTATACAAAGATAGTTTTAGAGACAAGGATATGTGGTGTACGTGGTACTGACGTATTTCATGTCTTGGATATGTTGACAATTTTGAGATGTGTTAGAACATAATATTCTGTGCTCAATTTTAATAAACGTAGAGTTCTTCTTCATCGATGTTTTATCCTCGAGAAGCAAAAAACTACTTCCCTCGTTAACCCTGTAAAAATATACACAAGCTTATAAGTATTTATTGCAGTATATATATATATATACGTTTATATTCAACGAAATATCTAGAGAGGTAAAAACTCTTCTCTCGTTACTGGTGTAAAAACATACATAACCATTATATACATCTGTTGTTATATATACACTATCTACCAAAGTTATGGGACACACCTCTGATTGCAGCAAAATGGATGTGACGACAAACTATGCAACTAGTTTGGTCTATAAAGGTGATCAACGATTCGCTCGGAAGTCATTTCGAACTTGTACGCCGAAAAATGAGTATACAGAAATAGCTAACAGAGTTTCAGAGGGATGCCATTTGGGGAAAATGTCTGTACGTGCTATTGCGCAACAATTCTACATTCTCAGGTCGATAATTGGCAAGTGGTGAAGAAATGGAAGTCTACAGGTGACAATAAACCCAAGAGACGACCAGGTAAGTGTAAAATACTGACTGACAGGAGCCGAAGCGCCTTGAGAAGGCTAGTTACCTCATTTCGCCATCAGACTCTAGAGAATCTGTGTTTGGAGATGCTAGCAGCCACAGGCAGTCCTATAAGTGTTTCCATGACACGTCGAGAGCTGCATACCACGAATTTTCACGGAAGAGCTGCAGCCCACAAGCCATTGATAACAAAAACAAATGTACATCTTCGATTGGCATGGGTCAAGGCACACTGAACTTGGACCATGAATCAATGGAAATCGGTCCTGTGGAGTGATGAGTCACACTACACGCTCTTCCAGTCTGATGGACGAGTTTTGGTATGGAGGATGCCTGGAGAATGTTTATTACCCGAGTGTGCTGTCCCAACAGTGAAGTTTGGAGATGGCGTATCATGATCTGGGGGGGGGGGGCTTCTCGTGGTATGGACTAAATCCACTGTTCGCAGTACATGGATCCATGAATGCTGAGTCCTACATTGATGTTCTTAACAATTCTGTTTGTACTACATTTGATGTTCTTAACAATTCTGTTTGTACTACATTGATGTTCTTAACAATTCTGTTTGTACTACATTGATGTTCTTAACAATTCTGTTTGTACTACATTTGATGTTCTGAACAATTCTGTTTGTACTACATTTGATGTTCTGTACAATTCTGTGTGTTCTACATTGATGTTCTGTACAATTTTGTGTGTCCTACATTGTGGAAATTTTATGTTACCGGCCCTTACACCTTCCAACATGATAACGCTCCATGTCACGAAACAAGGACTTGTGAACGCGTGGTTTGAAGAGAACAACATCGGAGCATTGCAGTGGCCAGCACAGAGCCCCTGACCTCAACCCGATAAAAAATCTTAGGGATAAACTGGAACGCAGAATTATGGCAAGGCTAAGACGGCCCTCTTCAGTAGTGGAGCTTACTAATGCTTTAAAGGAGGCGTGGAGCACAGTACCACCAGCTTTCTACCAAAATTAGCAGACAGTCTTCCACGTCACATTAAAACAGTCATTAAGGCCAAAGTCGGGCCAACACACTATTAGTTCCTTGGAATAGAGACACGTTTTATTCATAACTATCCGTGTCCAGTGACTTTGGTAGGAGGGTGTACGTTTGGATTCAACGAAATATCTAGAGAAGAAAACAACTCCTCTCTCGGTACCCCTTTAAAACATACATAAGCATTATAAGTATTATTTATAGCTGTATCGTTAAACTTCAACGATATATCAATAAATACTTTGAAACATTTTGACAGAGGAAGATTTGTGCACCCTTAAATCATAAAACACAACAACGTAAAATGATTTTTAGTTGTTATAGATATAAATTATTTTCAAACTATTAGCTTTATAAACATATCTAAAGAAAGCTGGTGCAACGTTAAACTATTATTGCATAGTATATATACAAAAGAAAGATGTGCAACGTGTAAGCTAATATTCTATTGTATATATGCAAAAGAAAGTTGGTGCAACGTGTAAGCTATTATTCTATTGTATATATGCAAAAGAAAGATGTGCAAACAGAAGATTAATCGACACTTAGTCTGCTTAGATTTCCTGGAAAAAGAAAAGGTGGTGTTGATAATTAATATTTAGCTACTTTTAGCACATATACATATATTTTAATAACGATGCCAGACTAAAAAAATTGGATATTGATTACTTCTGTTTAACCTTAGAAGACACAAAGAAATAAGAAATATCGCATATTATTTAATCGACAGACAAATGCAACTAAAAATGAAAATAAACTAAAGTAAACTAATTACCTTCCAACTTTTTGAATGATATTTTTTATAATAGACATCTACAACTATTAGAAATTTCAAACATCTAATATGCTATCTTAACCAACACCAACCTGGAACTTTTCGTACCTCTTTAGTTGTTTTCTGAACTATTTTGGCATTCCTTTTCCCTCTCATCCCAAAGAACGTACCACTTCGTTTGTTCTCAATCTCCAACGTTTCAGGTAAATAAGAGTCGCTACTGGCTGCCCCATTTCTTAAGTAATCCTCTTTCAGTTTACTGATGTAACTTTCTATATCGTCTTGTTTGCCTTGACCAATAGTGTAATGAAAATCATTATTTGTTGGAAATTTCCTGAAATTTGGTGTCTGATTTATTTCCCCATTTTTATTTCCAGTAAACGATATTCCTCCTTCGTCTTCCATGTTGGTTTTTTTACCTCTCATTCCAAAGAAAGAACTTCCCCTTTTATCATCAACGTAATCCCTTTTCCCTTGAAATCCAAAGGAAGTGATGGCTCTATTTCCTTCACTTGTTTCTTCCTTTTTACCCCGCATACCAAAAAATCCCGAAGCTCTTTTGTTTCCTTCTAGACTGATTTGTTTCTCTTTGTATTCCCTTCGGCCTCTCATTGGAAGGAACGGGATGGCTCGTTTGTTCACCTCCGTTACCTCCTTCTGGTTAAGGAAGTGATCTTCTTGATCCTAAAATATTTTTCATACCATATAGTTCGAAAACTGTCATAAGAAGAATTATTTAATAATTATAACTTTAACTAGCCGGGAAATATGAGGAATCATTAACTTAACTATCAAACTACACTAAATGCTAAATACATTTTTGAAATACAAAATAGAGTACGAAAAACAATTGTAATAAAATAGTTTGTTGCCAATAACAAAAGTTTTTGAGTGTAAGCGAATAACACTGTAGTTGTTGATGAAAGTATAAGTTTGTTTGTTTGGAATCGAGCACAAACTACACAATGGGCTATCTGGGCTCTGCCCACAACGGGTATCGAAACCAGGTTTATAGTGTTGTAAGTTCGCAGACATACCACTGTGCCACTGGAGGGGGGGGGCGAAAGTACAAGTATCACGTTCAAATAGAACCCTTCATTTCTGGTAGCTCAGCGGCAAGTCTGAGGGCTTATAGCGTTAAAAATTGGATATCGATACTAGCGTTGGGCACAGTACGGATAGTCACTTGTGTATCTTTATGTTTCATAACAAAAATGGAATGGAATTTTTTAATCTTAAATATATATTTTTTTTTGTATGTATCCACTTGAACTTACTTATATACTTCACAAATATTTTTACAGGTGCATAATGTTTGATCAATTGCACACTAGGAAAACTCCTGATAGGTCTATATAAATATTTTGATGCCATCAAATTAACTTAAGTGTAAATGGAATAATCAGTACAAATATAAGCATTATATATATATATATATTACAAATTAACAAAATGTTTGTTTCAGAGATTCGCATAAAGCTTCACTAAGGCTATCTTCTCTATCCATTTCTAATTTTGATCTGACCTACTACTCTAATCGAATAGAGGGATTTGATCGTCACTCTTATAACGCACACTCGGCCCAAAATTTGGAGCGCGATTTCTGCGGCAACAGAACACGATCCATGGTCCCTTAAATTCACAGTATGGAACGCCCAATATTAACTAGTTATTACAGCCAAATAGTGGGACAGATATGTGAAAAAATGTGCATTTCTGGCAGAAAGCATAAAAATGTGCATACAAGGTTTCTGGGGATGTTGAATACAATAAGATTGTAAAACATCACATAGAATTAAGTCTTCACATCGAAAAGGGTGATAAATATCGGGGGTTGCTAAAATATAGAATACAACATTTTTCTTTACTGATTGGCAGAAACCTACAAAGTCATCATATTCTATCAGTGAACGATATATTTGTTTATTTTAATCCATTAACAGTATTTTTTTATAATCTTGATTAACTTGGAGGAGTGGAAATCCAAGATGGCTACTGAAAATCGAAATTGATATCATATGTAATATCTCCTAATCTAATTTATGTAAAGATGTAAATATAGTGTCTATACTAAGGTTTTTGATGTCAGGGATTCTAAATATGATACTTAGAATTCCATTAGAAAAGTATGGATACATATTTTTAAATATAATGTGTAATCCAATTCCACAAAAAAGTCATAGAAAGGTCGATAAGTAAACAGTGTCTATCTTTGAAAGACAATAGTTGATATAAAGGTCAAATAAATACTTAAATCATGGTGCATATAAACGTGCACATATTTATAATTATATAATAATAATTTTATCAACTAAATCACGAGCTAAATATTAATTTAAAAAAAAACAGTTATATTTCAGAAGAGACATTTAACCAATGTTCCTTGTTACAGAGTTGCTATGCTCAATAAAATACATCACATGTCATTAAGTACGTGTAGACACAATGTCTTAAGTAACTTGTACACAAACAGAATAATCATTTTATCATCTTATACAGTAATACCAAAGGATAAGCACTTATATATGTAAATTTCTTCAGCTTTATATAGTGAAGGTGTTAAACGTAACGTTGAATTTTTTTATGTGAAACTCATTTTTTATATTTCCAGTTAACACATTTTATCAGTTATTTAGATTGGTTAAAGTTCCTATAATTTAAAAAAAATATAGATGTAATGTATTACTAGCAAAGACGCTAGATTTACGTTTAGTAAGAACAGATAATTGGCCTAGAGTAATAATAAGTATATATTTTATCATTATGTGTGTTTCTTGTAAGTGTTTATCCCTTGGGTATTAATTTAAACATATAATTTATAATAATCTGTCTCCTATGTTTCAGGTTCTGTAGTGGTGTTCCAAGGTGTTGGCGTACATTCAGTAGATCTATAGCTCCAGTAATGTTTGTAGAGATGTAGTTCACCGTATCGGAGATATTATGACTGAAAAAGAGATTAGTCTCTTTGCGTGATTTGCCAAGATCGTACAAGTAATGTGCTCATTAATCCCTCTCTTTATAAAAATTAAGATAATCGCTTATTTGAATAATTACCATAGCTCCTGAAGAGACAGAATATTTTACTCATAGAGACAAGCTGTTGGAATTGCTCTTCCTTAGGTCAGTGGAAATACAAATACCCATGTTATTTCTTGTAATTATAATTTATATATTGAGGGGCACCAAAAAACAGGGGATTATTAATTATTGTGCACCAACCTCTAAAGATTCTACCTTGACGTCACCAGAGAAACTACTCGTGGAGGTCGCCCCATCTGTTGTTAGAAGCATAATGAATAACGTAAATGTCAGGATTGAGATTCCGCTTCTAGAATGACCCATATTCATCATATTTCCTACAAAATAACAACAATAATAAAATCAGTTATCACAGTTAATGGTTTCCACAGAATTTCTTATGTATCCTTCTAAAAGTTAAAACAAAGTTGCAACAAAACATGTTCATAGGTTTAAAAATATTGATCAAATTAGTGCTAGATAAAATGGAATGTAAATTAATTATTAAATGAAAATATTATTTCCATATGGTAAAGTATTGGACTGTTTGGGCACTTTCTTAGAACCCTTTACATCCACGCTGATAGAACACTTCATATATTTCACTGTAAAATACACTGATTGTGTGGCATGTCAGATTACTGCTACCATCATGGCTAGCCTCTGAGCAATGGATAAGAGCAAGGACCTCTCTGGGTTTAAAAATAAGACCTGACATTTGGCCTGGCCATATTATTAAGGTTCCACCTAGTATCTGGTTGGATCACAATTCGCCATCGTAACAGCCTGAAACACCTGTGGAGACACAAGATGTCAGAATGCCTTTTGTGTCATTACATAGTTCATTCGTGAAGTATGGGGTATAATTAGCTCACAGATTTTGGCAGAGAATTGCAGTGGCGAAAGCAATGGTCATCCCATATAGGCTCAATCAGGCTAAGATTAAGTGTTTGTTCTGCGCAAGAAAAATTAATATACTTACATTCATGTTTCTTGAACCAATTGGCGGTAATACGACCACAGTAGAAACGTAGAATTGTGTGATAGGCATGGGTGACAATAACGTTAAGGTACAACCTAAATATTACTCTTTCTAAACCAATGAAAGGACTCTATCTGTGTCATTCCACCACACCATTACACTACTTCCAGCAGATTACACTTCCATTCATCCAATATCCATAGTTTGTGCTCTAAGTACCATTGAAGATTTTCTACTTGCATCTGTTACACATTAGGGACTTGTCTAACTGTTTTTGCCTCTGGTTTCATTATATGTTAGCACAAATAATTTCTTCTAGAGACCAATGTATATCTTTTTAGTTGTTAATGCCGCGATTGGCAAACTCTGATGGCAGATATCTTTAAGCAGCCAATCAAAGAAATGTTCTCTGAGAAGGTCTTTCCTGTTAGATGGATGTAGTGTACCTAAATAATTCATGTTCGCAAAGTGGAGTGATGATAAACTATACATATCAATACAGGTTAGTTTTCAATGTAAACATGATAATGTAGAGAAACCACCTAAACTGGTTTGTTTTCAGTGTATATATGATCATGCAAAGGAAACCATCTAATCAGGATAGTTTTCAATGTACATATAATAACGTAGAGAAACCACCCTATCGGGTAAAGTTTCAATGCAATTATTAACAGTCAGAACATATATGCTCATTGTATTTTTATTATAAAAGTTCGATAATACACTAGTTATAGTTAGAATTACAAAATAATTTTATAAATAAATTTTATAAATAACTTAAATCTCGCTTCTGTCATTAAACACACGGGAAGAAAAGAGTAGTGTGTAGACATGATGCCCACTACAAAATTACTACCAATCTGAATTAAACAAATCTATCATTTTCCAACTAAAATATTTCTCACGCACAAAGGTGATTAGCTCAGTGCTAATGGCTAACAAGTAGTTAGATTCCATCAAACACATTTTATACATAGTAAACACAAAATCATATACCATATCGTTTTAAAAATGTTTCATTGTGAGTATAACAACGGAGGTAACGTACACTAACTCTAAAGTATTGCATAAAATAAGAAGTAAGAAAAGAACGCAACCATAAACTGTATTCGTGATTATGGAATTTTCCTGTTTTGCAGTTTGAAAGTAAAGTATAAATTTTCAATTCTAATGATATTTATAAATAAAATTTCAATCCGATACATGAAACCTCAACGTGTATATTAGCTAGAAAACAATCACTACTTAATAACAATAACAGTTTTCCTTATTTTTAGTTTTGTACGTGTCCAGCTATTTTAACGCAAAGGAAAATATACAAGGAACAAACACGTTTATGCATTATGTACAATTCTTTGTAAAATTTAAGTTAGTGATTTAACTAAAGCATGTAAATATGATATACTAGCACGAAATATGAAACCGTACGAGCTACAGTAGAAAGGAACCTTGTTTTCACTGTTTCATCTTTTACTGTCAGATTTTGATGAGGAATAATATCCAAACTTAAAACGTCTTCATCTTATTCGTCGAAGACAGATGGCAATAAAATATGTAATAAGTGTCATTTTGCAATTTTTTTATGGAATTTTTTCGTTATCTTACAAAAGGAAACAGTACAATATATATATGCGTATGTATGTATAAACCAACGTCTAGTATGTGCAGGATTTGGTGATGCAAGTTATTATGAAATAAATATTAATTAATTTTGCTAAACTAAGCTTTTATGATATAGTATAAAATACATGTTTTCTCTAATCACTACAATATGCCCCAATTATTTACAACAAATTACAACCCCTATATTTGGCACGAAGCTGTCTTCAGGTTTTGAATGAGAGTAAAAAAACAAAACAATCATTTATTTTAATACAACTGCAAATTTTGTATCAGTTTGCTAGGGGACCTATTAGTTTCTAATGCTTCGCTAGCTTTTCACATCCAAACAGTTAAAATCAGCAGTCTTATTTGTATTTCACGGCACTCGACTCGCAATATGAGGGTCGCGGGTTCGAATCCCCGTCACACCAAACATGCTCGCCCTTTCAGCCATGGGGGCGTTATAATGTGACGGTCAATCCCACTATTCGTTGGTAAAAGAGTAGCCCAAGAGTTGGCGGTGGGTGGTGATGACTAGCTGCCTTCCCTCTAGTCTTACACTGCTAAATTAGGGACGGCTAGCGCAGATAGCCCTCGTGTAGCTTTGCGCGAAATTAAAAAAACAAACAAACAAAACAAGCAAACATTTGTATTTCAATATCGGCAGCATCCATATTTATTAATTTTTTAATTTAAAATACATTTTTGGCAACGTTGTTTGTTTTCATGTAACGTAATGAATACAGGAGCACAGAATTCATTACCTAAGTAATAACAAATACTGACTTGACAAATACTTGTAAAACAAATTAATCTGAAAATAGTGGAGCGATGTATATATATGATTCATGTCGATTTTGACATAACGTATAATAACATTCTGTACTTGCGGCGTTAGATATTTGAATTTACCTTGGTTTCAGATGTCATTAATAAAACACGTGTCTAAACGTATTTCAAATAGCAGTCTCCAGGAAAATTACAGGTTAACATCTTGAAATAAGTTAATTTTGCAGCAACCTCTCTTGTCTCTACTCTATTTATTTGACGAAAAAAGTTTATTCGAATTTTGTTTTAGAAAAGCTTAAGACTTTTGAGAGCTTTCAAATTATCAAGTTTTACGAAAAGTTTGGCATCAACTTCGCTTTCGGGCTTACGCTTGTTCTGCTTTATATTGGATATATACTGTTAATTACGCGCTGAATTACAAAGACCAGCATAAAATATCCGTACTCCGATGTGGGGTTCCTCATGATTCGCAGAAGCCCCAGTATATATTGATCAAGCTTCCCCATTTTCCTCAATTACTTCTATGATTAGCATAATGTGAAGTTTGTACCAGAAAAAAAAAAAATCTTTAGGACACCTACCCGTAGAAACTTGAGCACGTTTGCCACGTTTGGTCCAGCTAGTTTTTGAATAGGGGTATGAGAACAGTATCAAACGTGGTGCCTAATGTATCCCAAGGGGTGGGAGAAGGAAAACAAAATCAAATGCCATATTCGGATTCAACTATACCGAAAACTTACTCCTAGAGCCCCATCATGCCTGGTTAAACTTCCGGGTGCGTTTAAGCTCACCTTGCTACCCTCTCAGTAGGCGGGCTATAGCTATTCCCAGGAGTGTCTTTACTCAAACAAAGCCTATAAGGATAACCGTCTGTGATACCTGAACATGTTTACTAGGATTGATCCCTCAGGTGGTCAATGGGAGTATGAATACAGTTTCAAACATAGACATGGCACCCCGGGAATTCCGAGGGGCCCGGAAACACAAAATAAAATACCACACTTGGGTCCAGTGACCCAGAACACCTTCTTCTAGATCCTCATCATGCCTGAATCGAGCGCGTTTTAGTCGCCCTTGATACCCCCTTGGTAGGGGACTACGACATATAGATAGAATTCCCCTGGGCTACCCTGAGCACTCCTGCGAAATTTGGTCCTCCTTGTTCCAAAACTGTGAGGAGAATTCGCGAACAAACAGATTCACACACACACACAGCGTAATTTACTACAGGATAACACACGTCCAGTGATAAGCAAAGGTAACATAATATTGTAAATTCTGAGTTTAAATTAATCTGTGAGAACTTGGGCCTGGTCAATACATCAATCGAAAGAGTTTGACCTCCTGAGTCCAAAACTGTAATTAGATCTCAAATCGCTCAAGAGATGAGGGAGCTATGAGCTAAAAGTTTGTACTTGAAAAACAAAACAAACGCAGAGCCATTATATAAGCTGCGGCTAAAAATATGTGACCTGACATTCGATTGTACTCTAGCCTTACAGCACACATACAACTCGCAAACCCATATTAAAAGCGGCAAACTGTTAATTTAT